CTGGACAAAGGGTAATAGTGTGACCTTAAATGTTCAATAGCAACTAGAGGCCATTAGCAGATAAGCAACTGCTTTTCTATTTAAAAACACTTTTTTCATTAAAATTTTGTCTTCTTTCCCTCCTCCTCCCAACTGAGAACAAAACAAAACAAAAACTGAAATTATTGATTTCTATTATATTAATAACCAATTATTAAATTAAGACTAAAGCTTTTTCTATTTCCTCATTCAGGGACCAGCCCCTGCAAGTAACTCAGTCTCTGAAGAACATTGTTGATATATGAGATTGCCCAAATCCTCTGGGAACATGCTTCTGGATCTTGGGTAGGACCCCACCCAATTAAAAGACTTTACTTCTGTTTAGAGTATAAACTGGATCAAATCTAGGTGAATTCCAGCCCTACAGTATTAAGTCCATTACTTGTGCCCTTCCATTGGCATTTTGAGTAACCAGCTCATGAAAGAGTGGTCTGGGTAGAGATGGACTCCTTTGTCCAGGTTGCTGGAGGTGACTGAGTTTCATGATCAAGCCCCACTTTAAGCAGCTGGATCTGCTTAAGGAGCTGAGGGCTGAAAGCCCTCCACCTTCTCATTTAAAAAGTCCACTCCTCATTAATTGTTCACCAATCAGGGTTGACTTTTCACCTGTCAGGGACACCCCCTTTTTTACAAGTACATTAAGGCATTCGGTATCTCCATTAGGTGGAGATTTGGCTACCGAGATAAACCACTGACCACCAATTTATTGATTATCAGCTAGCCTAATTAATAAATTGATTATTAATTACCCAGAAACTATCTCTTGGAATTTTCATTTGTCTCAAAACTCTCGTCACAAATAGGTATAGTCAAGCAAAACAAATTTCAACATAGGCCATGTCCAAATATACATATACATACATATATATACATATATATATATATACACATATTTATACACATATGATTTTATCTTATTTTACACTTTTTTACCACTATATCAGGAGATGGGTAGCATGTTTTATCATTAGTCCTCTGGAATTGTGGTTGGTTATTACAATGATCAGAGTTGCTAAATCTTTCAAAGTTGGTTAACTTTACAATATTGTTGACTGTATAAATTGTTTTCTTGGTTCAGATCACTTAATTTTGCATCAATTCACACTAGTTTTCTCAGGTTTCACTGAAACTGTCTCCATAATTTTTTTTCTTTTTTTGACATTTATTTTTAAAAATTTTGAGTTCCAAATTCCCTTCATCTCTCTTGCCCCTCCTCCACTTACTGTGAAGGAAAGGAATATTGTATCAATTATACATATGAAGTCATGGAAAACATATTTCCTTATTAGCCATGTTGCAGAAAGAAAGAAAGAAAGAAAAGGAAGGAAGGAAGGAAGAAAGAAAGGAAGAAAGAAAGAGAAAAATCAAGAAAGTGGGAAAAAGTATGTTGCGATCTGCCCTCTAAGTTTGTCAGTTTTTCTCTCTGGAGGTGGATGGTATTTTTCATCAGGGGTCCTTAGGGATTGTCTTGGATCACTGTACTGATCAGAGTGGCTTAGTCTTTCCCAATTGAACATCGTCACAACATTGCTCTTACTGTGTACAATATATCCTAGTTCTGCTCACTTCACTTCACTTTAACTCATATAGATCTTCCCACACTTTTTCTGAAACCATCCCTCTCATCATTTCTTATACCACAAGTTATTGTTCGGTCATTTTTTTCAGCTGAGTCTGACTCTTCATGACCCCATTTGGGGTTTTGTTTTGCAGAGATAATGGAGTGGTTTGCCATTTCCCTCTCCAACTCATTTTACAGATCAGAAAAATGAGGTAAATAGGTTTAAGTGACTTGCCCAGGGTCACACAGCTAGTAAATGTGTGAGGCCAGATTTACTCAGGAAGATGAGTATTTCTAACTCCAGGCCGGGCACTTTATCCACTGTGCCACCTAGCTGCCCTCTATAGCACAATAGTATTCCATTATGATCACATATCACAACTTGTTCAGCCATTCCCTGATTGATGGGCATCCCCTCAATTTCCAATTCTTTGCCACCACAAAAATAGCTGCTATAAATGTTTTTTGTACATATAGATCCTTTCCCTTTTTCTTTTATCTCTTTGGGATACAGACCTAGTAGTGGTATTGTCAGGTGAAAGGATATGCACAGTTTTATAGCCCTTTGCGCATAGTTCCAAATTGTTCTCCAGAAAAATTGGACTAGTTCACAACTCTACCAGTAGTGTATTAGTGTCCCCTCTAGCATTTGTCATTTTCCTTTTTGGTCATGTTAGCCAATATGATAGGTGTGAGGTGCTACCTTAGGGTCGTTTTAATTTGCACTTCTCTAATCAATAGTGACTTTGAACATTTTTTTATGTGACTTGATAGTTTTGATTTCTTCTTCTGAAAAATACCTGTTTATATCAATTAGGGAATAGTTTTTTTTTTGATATATGTGACTCAGTTCCCTATATATTTGAGAAATGAGGCCTTTATCATAGAAACTATCTATGACATCTTTTAGTAATATGTAGTTTCTCTCATCTCTTTTAATTAGGTCTATTTTTGCTTTTGCTTTCTATGTGATCATGATTGCTACCTCTGTTCATTCACCACAGCTGAAGCACAACAGATTCTGCTTCAGTTCTTTATTTTAACTCTTTGTGTGTCTTTAAGTTATGTGTCAAGTGTGTTTCTTGGAAAAAAAAAACATTGTTGGATTCTGGTTTCTAATCCATTCTGTTATCTGCTTCCATTTTACAAGTGAATTCATCCCATTCACATTCATAGTTATGATTACAAATTGTATTTTCTTCCCATTTTCTTCTGTTTCTCTTTTTTCTCTTTATACCCTGTCCCCACTCAAAAGTCTGTTTTGCTCCCCCTTTCAATTGTTATATGTTCTCCCTTTTCATTTTTGAAACAAATTTGGCTTTCTTCTCAACCTTATTAAATCAAATTAGCTGTTAATTTTACTCTTTTTAAATAGTTTTCAGTTTTATTTATTAATTTGATATTTTACATTCAATTTTAATAATTCCTTCTTTAATTTTCTGAATTTCTTTCATTGGGGACTTTGGATTTGTCATTGTTCAAGTTGTTTTAGTTGCATGCCCAATTCATTGATTTTTCTCTCTTTTGTTAGTGAAAACATTTAGAGATATACATTTTCTCCTAAGAACTGCTTCAGTTTCATCTCATGTTTTCTCATTATTGTAATTCTATTTGATGAAATTTTCTATTGTTTCTATAACTTGTTCTTTGGTGTATCATTTCTTTAGAATTATGTAATTTATTCTCAGATTACTTAATTACTTTTTAGTCTTTCTTTTAGGGTTCTTTATTGAATAATTTTTTTTATTGTGTTGTCATCGGTAATTGAAGTATTTCAATTACTTCAGGTATTTCAATTGAACTACTTCAGCTTTTCTACATTTTTGGACAGGTCTTTTATCTATTAATGCATGGTCACTTTTTGTAAAAGTGACAGGCACAATTTAGAAGTATATAATTCCTTTCTAGTCCCATTCAGTAATTGCCTAAAGTTCTACCTGCTTCGTTAACTTCTTTCTTGTTTATCTGTTGGTTAGTTTATGTAGGTCTGAAAGGGATACATTAAGGTTCTCCCACAATTATAGTTTTATTATCTACTTCTTCAAATTTGTTCAACTTTTCCTTTAAACACTTGGAGAGCATGTTATTAAACGAGGTTATATAGTAAGTATTGATACTGCTTGAGCAAATAAAGGCATCTGTGGTGGCTTCAAGTGTATTTCCTTGCTTATCTTTTTATTACGCCCACATTTACTGCAGCCTTATCTGAAAGCATGACTCCCACTTTTTTTTCAGTTCATCTGAAGCACAGTAGATTTTGCTCTAGTTCCTCCTTTTCACTCTCTACGCGTCTTTGCATTTCAAATGTTTCTTATGAACAACATATTGTTAGATTCTGTTTTCTAATCCATTCTGCTGTCTTACTCCTTTTTATGGATGAGATCACCTCATTCACACTGTGAACTTACAACTCTTTCCTGTCTTTTTGTATTTTTCCCCCCTTTGCTCCCAACCCTTCTTTACAAATAAGAATAAAAAAAGTTTGCCTGATGGTCGTGACTTATAAATTTTTTTTCTATTGTAGCTGTTCTTTTCCCCTTTAACTTTCCTTACTTTTAATCACTCCTTTACATTTTTCTCTCCAACATCTTAGTTTATTTCGCTTGTGATTATTCATTTACCTATTCTGTACTCCTCTTTCGACTCCATCTCTCTTTTTCTTGTCCTTGTCTCCTCCAATTTCCCTTTTGAATTTAATGCATTTCTATGATAAAAAAAAAAAGCTCTGTGTGTGTGTAGTTATGTTCAATCTTCCTTTATCCAGGTCAGATTAGAGTGAGGTTCAACAGATTTCTTTTGCCCCAATCCCTTTCTCCATGATTATATACTCCTTATTTTATGCACCTCTATCATGTGATAGTGATTTCTCTCCCCTTTCTTCACCGGTGTAGCTGTCTGTCCTTCCTATATTTGCCTTCTAAGGCCATCAAAATAGTATAAAACCACCACCTAGTCTTCTTATTTTCACCGTTATCTATGACCTTTAAAGCCATCAGGGTTCTAAGAAGACATCTGTTTCTTAACATGAGCAGATACATCATCCATTCCTACGTAGTCGCTTCCAATTAAACACACGTATACACACATCTATATATGCACGTTTTTCTCGGTGCCTGCATTTTCCTTTGAAAACGTCTAGGAGGAAGAGAGAGAACGAAGCTGAACCCCCTGCGCTCAGGACTGGGCTGGCTGGACGACCTACCTAGGGGCTGCAGAAGAGACGCGGGACTGGAAACGACGTAAGCCGCCCCACACCTCCAGAGCGCCTCTCCCCCCAGCCCCGAACAGAGCATGCGCCTTGGCGGCCATTGCCCACGCCTCCTCCCCCGCCCTGTCTTCCCAGAGTACCCTGCGCTCGCCGCTCTTTCGGCCCGGGAGCTCCCCAGAGCCGCCGCCCTCTCTCGCTGCTGCCGCAGCTGGCGCTGCCCCTCCTCCTGCGCCTCCTCCCTCCGCCCTCCTCCTCCTCCTGCTGCTCCTCCTCCTCTCTCCTCTCCTCTCCTCTCCTCCTCCTCCTCTAGTGCCACTGAGTGAGGATCCGCCGCCGCAGCCTTCACCGTCCCGGGAACCATGGTAAGGTTGGCCGCGGGAGGGGCTGGAGCCCGGGAGTCGGGACAGCGTCCCTGGCCTCTGGACCCCGGCCGGCCCCTTGGGCCCACTGCCGCCATTTTAACCTAATTTTAGCCCCCGCGGGGTCGTCGCCCCCAGTTCCTGGTTCTGTCCCCTCCCCCACTCCGGTCCAGCTTGCCCATGCTTCTGGGCCCGCCGGACTGATGGGGCCCGGAGATCGCGGCCCCCTCTCGTCCCTGGCCTCCCGGGCGGGGCGCCGGGCCGTGGGGTCCCCTCCCCACACCCTCCTGCGCGGGGCGCGGGGGCGAGGGCTCCCCGACGCCCATCAGCATTAATGACCAAAGCGCCACGATCACGCCAGAGGTGGTCTTGAGACTGTTTTTCGGAGGGGGAAACTGAGGCTGGCGTTGTGCGCCAGGCGGTGAGCCGGGGACTCGCGGCCCCTGGCCCGAAGGTTGGCTCGGGGCGTGGCAGCGGGGGCCGCCTGGCTGCGCCAGGCTGGAAGCCCCTGCCTTTGCCCTTCAGTTTCTCTTTCACGCTGTCCTTACAAAAAACGTGGAGCCCCCAAAGTCAGAAACGGCTCGAAATGTAAAGGACCCTTTCGGTATCACCTTCGAGAGGGGGACTAGGAGGGAGAGAGAGGGTTGAAAAAACAAAACCAAAAACCCTGTCCTGGCTGGAGCCCTCTCTGATTCCCTGCTCTGGACTGTTTGGCTTTAAGGAGGAGGATCATTTGTTCGTGCCTTGGGAAGTTTGTTCTTGATTCCCTCTCCTTATGTGGAAACTGTACCGGATAGGGTGATTCTTCCCTCCCCCTCTCCCCACTTAAAGTATGGATGCATTAACTGTAACCCCAAAGTTGTTTTTTTCTTTAAAGGACGCGAAATGTTGACTTGTAAATACCGAACGTATTTCTGCTGCTGCTTCTTCAGCCCTGACATCACCAAGTAAAATAAGAGCTATTTCAGAGTGGGACAGTAATTCTTATTTGTCCTTTTACCTCCTTTGTGTTTTAACCTCCTTAAAAAGTTGATAAAGCAGGAAATGACATCTAGATATGTTGGCCCTCTTGATACACCATCTGTTTAAATTTTATGACAGTACTTGATGCTCAGACTTCTAATGAATAACCCTCTTTGGGAAGTCATTTCTTTTTATATTTCATTAGTCGTACCCAATAAATAGTTGTTTAAAATCAAAATTCTTTCTTTAACTTACTGTTCTTTTTTATTTTTAGGCTTCTGGAGTAACTGTGAATGATGAAGTAATCAAAGTTTTTAATGATATGAAAGTAAGGAAATCTTCGACACAAGAGGAGATCAAAAAAAGAAAGAAAGCAGTTCTCTTCTGTTTAAGTGATGACAAAAAACAAATAATTGTAGAGGAAGCAAAGCAGATCTTGGTGGGTGACATTGGTGAAACTGTAGAGGACCCCTACACATCTTTTGTGAAGTTGCTACCTCTGAATGATTGCCGATATGCTTTGTATGATGCCACATACGAGACAAAAGAGTCTAAGAAAGAAGACCTAGTTTTTATATTCTGGTGTGTAAAACCCAAAGAAAAAAAAACATTTTGAAATGCAAGTATTGTTGTTGACATAGATAGTCTTGCTCTTGTTTCTCACATGAATGGGATTGAATAATTATTTTTCTTCTATAGGGCTCCTGAATGTGCACCTTTAAAAAGCAAGATGATTTATGCTAGTTCTAAAGATGCCATTAAAAAGAAATTTACAGGTACAAACAAGAAATATTTTGCATATAGCAATTATTGTTTCTTCTTAACAGTAAGGTAATGGACATTGTGATTGTCTTGTTTTTTAGGTATTAAACACGAGTGGCAAGTAAATGGCTTGGATGATATTAAGGATCGTTCAACGCTTGGAGAGAAATTGGGAGGCAATGTAGTAGTTTCACTTGAAGGAAGACCTTTATAAAGTGACAGTGAAGTGCCATCTGGAAGTAGCTTCCATTTTTGCAGCTCCATCAGTTGGAATAGTGTTAGGTTTTTGTCCCTTACCATACCTTCCCAGAAAACATAAAGAAGTCAGTAATTTAAGCAGCCTACCAGTGATTGCCATTAGACTGTTTCATCCTGGTAGTTATATGTAGAACCATAGGAATGCCTTCACATCACATTTTAGCCAAAACAAATGGCATTATATGCATCCCTTGCAGAACTAAGATGAATATGATAGTAATATGAATAGCTTAGAAAACTGCAAAGGGTTAAGCTAATTGAATGCCTTGAAAGTATGATCCACCACTGGTCAGATGCTAAACTTCATTCAGTATTACTTAGAGTTGCACTTGATTGCAGTTCCTGAAGTTCTTGTGCTTCGTACACCTAACCTGCCTTTAACACGCCTATTGTGACGTGGCAGCATGTGTATGTGTATGTGTGTGTGTATGTATATATATAATACATATATATATATATATATATATATATATATATATATATATATATAATATACACACACATATATACACATATACACGCATGTGTACACACATACATATACATACACACATATATGTGTGTATATATTTATATGTGTAACTATGCATTGAAAGCACTTTTATGTAATAAGGTTGTACCCTTCAAAAAGGAATGCCAATTAAGTTGTCGTAACTGTCATCAAATTATTATAGTACCTGTAGTACCTCAGTGTTCATTCCTGTTATCTACATATCTTCCTAAATGAAGTAGTTAATGCCTTTTTATTTTCCATTGAATGTACACTACAGGAGTAGGAGTTAAGTGTTTACCATGTGAGTCTTGCAGCACTAAAGATATTTTGAATAATGTTATAATGGCAATTTCTGTATGAAAAGAGCCTTAAATGGAACATTGTTTTTGAGAACAAACTTCCCACCCCTACAAAATTGGCCACGTTGCAATAAAACTTGTGGCTTATTACAGAATGTTGCCTTGTTTTCTTTGGAAATATAGTTAAGTATGTTTCTGCTAAGCATATTTTGAAAAAATGTTATGTGGAAAGTATTGTAAAGGTAAACAATTGTTCATTTCAACACAACTAATTTGAGATTTTTCTGTATAGCTGTCAACTTTCATGACTACTGTACAGATTTTGGATGGGAAATCCTGCTTTTAGCATATATAGATACTAAATTAACAAATACCTCTGTTATGCAACAATAATTCTATAGGACTTATTTCAAATTTGAAAATCAGGAATTTTTATACTTTTCCATGAGTTCTTATCTAATTTTTTGTTAAAATACAGGAGCTATATGTGTTGTATTATATATTTGTATTTCAAGACAGTTATATAGTGATGGGACTCTTTGTCTCTGTTGTGAGGGACAGAGCTTGTGAAAACAGTCTTTCTCAGAAGAGTGTAATAATACTCTTTTAGGTACAAGGATTCTTTCATAAGCTGATATTAAATTCTACAAGTCAAATGAAAAAGATTTGATCATCAAGTTTTAACATTAGGAATGGGATTTGGTAGAGTTCCAAAGGCTGCTCCTTATAGAGAATTTGATCTGCCCTGTGTGAGCAGTTCACTGTTAGCCAGAGCTATTTATGGCAAACACATGCTTTTGTATCTTGTCATAGTTATCCACAAATGGCAAAACTGGACATGATTCTACTTCTATGCAAAAAGGCATGCTAATTGTCGGTGGGAACATAGCAGAATACTTCATATGAGGAAGAAGCTGAAAAATACAAATAAACCTTTTTAATTTTTACAAACAATGCATAAGCAAAACTGATGCTTGAGTGTAATTAGATACCTTTTTCCTGTGTTTTGGAATTTTTTCAGAAGAAAACTATAGGTTAATTCTCGAGACAACAAGACATCAATTTTAAATTGTATGAATGGCTTGGGACTTTGTACAAAAATACAAAAGATTTTATTTCAGGCTTCCAGCTGTTCATTTGAATTACTCTGGTCATTTTTAATGCCTTTTTGGCAAGGCCAAACTCTCCTAAGCAGAGCATCTGAATACTGATATGCTTAAATCATATAGCTGTTACTGTTACCATAAAGTTCTTCTTTCAATTATTTCCTCTTTCTGCTTCAAAATAAGAGGCAGTTAAATAAGTTCTTTAACAAAATTTGACTTTGCTTCTTAAAATTGACTGATCTACCACCAGAATTACATATAAGCACTTGATAATTTTAGCTTATTTTTGTGCTTTATGCTGTTATGTGATTGATTTGTTACAAACCGAGAACACTTGACATATTGAAAACATGTTAAACTCGTTTCACTCATGAAGCATCTTTGTACATGGTATGTGAAGCAGTTAAAAAATTGTGCTTATGTAAGATTCAGAGCATTGAAAATAATCTTAAACAGCTAACAGTTCAAAGAGGGAATTAATGTGAAATCTGACTTAGAATGATATTTTCTTTTTGAAAAGGTGTGTTGTAGAAGTTATTTGATAAATTAATAGGATCATAAATCTTGAACTGGAAGAGACCACAGAGGCCATTTGGACCACCACCTCATTTTACATTTGAGAAAACTGAGACCTAGGGAAGCTGTGACTTGCTCAAGGTCACAGGTGGTGTCAGAGGTAGGATTTGAATCTTCATTCTCTTGACTCCAAAGCCAGTACTTATTTCACTGTACCATGCTCTCAGCATTATTAAGCAAATACAGCTTGGCACTTGTCCCAAACTGGCTGTCAGCTGTTGTTTTCTATCTAAAATAGCAGTAATCTTACATTGTGATTTTGTATATTCAGTATAGTGGAAGTCTGTTAACCTTGGGTTTCACTGTTTTTTATCCCCTTATAAACATATTTATATAGCATCTCCTGCTTTGGTAAAGCAAATTGCAATCCTAGTAGAAGTGATTTTTTAAAAAAAGTTTTTCTTGTTAACTTTGATCTTGATAGTTGGATCTAATTTCTCTTTCTCCAATTCAGTAAACCTTTATTGTCCCTATTATGTACATGGCAATATACTAGGCAGTGGTAAAACAGTGACAAAACTAAAACATCCCTGTCCTCCTGGAGCTTAGGTATATGTAAGCTCCTTGAGGAAAGGGATTTTTATATACGATGTACCTTATATATCATATTTGGATTGCCAGTTTTGGGAGAATAATAACTGACCTTCATACAGCATTCCTAGGAGTTTTTATTGTTTTTTAAAATATATTTTACATGAGTCATTTCTTAAACTCTGTCTCATTGCCATTGAACCTTCATTAGTTGCAAAGAATTATGCAAAAAAAATGATATAGTGATTATCTGACAGTGTATGTGACATTGTGTCATTAAGAGGGAGATATGTTTTATTTCCTATCTCAAGAGTTTGACTTTGTGTTATTGATCTTCTCATTTTTGTTGTGACAATAGTGAAACAATGCAGTATATTGGAAAGAACACTGACTGAAGTGAGAGGACCTAGGTTCAATTCCCTCCTCTGAAGCTAACTGTAAGACCTTGAAAGTCCCAAATGGCCTTTGAGGTCCCTGCCAGCTCTAAATCTATGATCCTGTCATTTATCACTATATTTTATTACTTGGTTCTTCTTGTTTCTTTCTTAACCAATTCATAGAAATCATAGGATCGTTGCTTTAGAGCTAAAAAGTACCCTGGAGGTTGAGTGGCAGAGCTAGAAGGTGTGAGGTGGGACTTAAACCCAGGTTTCTGTCTCTACACCTGTAGGTTCTGTCCTCTATGCTGCCTTCTCAGTGACTTTTTATGATAAAATCTTAAAAATAGAAGTTCCCAGAGAATCATTGATAAAACTACAAGCAGTCTTTGGGTACTTCTGTTCCTGTGGCAAAATCTTCACATTTCTATGAATTCCTTTTGTCTTTTCCCACTGCACAATATTATTCCATTACATTAATTTACCATGATTTTTGCAGCTATTCCCCAAGTGATAACCGCTGTTTTCACTGCTGCTATTCTATAGAGTTTGCTATGAATATTTTGGTATATATTACACCTTTATTTCTGTCTTTTGAGTTGGATCTCTGGGTTGGAGGATGTGGCTAACTAGTCACTTTTTCTTTCATAATAATGAATTGATATCAAATTGGTTGGACTGATTCATAGCTCCACCAGTAATGTAGTATGCCTTTCTTTCCATTGTCCCTTCAACCCTGCAGTTTTTGGTTATTTTTACCAACGTGCAGGATGTGGGGTGAAACCTGAGTGTTGTTTTAATTTGTATTTCGTAGTAATTTGGAGCATGTTTAATGTGGTCCTTTATAGTTTGCATTTCTTCTGAATGCTATTCATGTCCACCCTTCTGTCAGGGAATGAAGGGGAAAGGAAGGGAATAGCTATTTCTATAGTGCCTAGTATGGGCCAGACACTGTTAAACACTTTACAAATATCTCATTTAATCCTCACAACAGCCCTATGAGGTAGGTGTGTTATCTCCATTTTACAGTTGAGGAAGCTGAAGCAGGCACACAAGGAAGTGTCGAGGCTGGATTTGAACTGTGGCCTTCCTGACTCCAAACCCAGCACTCTGTCCACTGTGAAATGAGTCTGTTATATATTTATGTCAGTTCCCCCATATGTCTTGTGTGTTAGACTTTTATCATTAATATTTGGTGCAGACATTTTTTTCTGCTGTATCTGGTTGTTTCTTCCTAGTCATCATAGAGCTGGGTCTAATTTTTTTAGCATACAAACTTATATTCAGGTTATGAAGCTATTTTAATGGTATTGCTTAGCCTTAATCTAATTTCCAACAAATTGCTTTTCAGTTTTCTTTGCCATACTCAAAAACAAACAAATAAACAAACAAGTAAATGAAGGTTGGGGAGGAGCCCTTCATTCAGTAATTTACTATATTTTGGGATTTATCAAACACTTGTGGACTCTTGTGATTTTTTATCTAGTTCTCAGGCTTCAGCCTTGGATCACTTCTATCATCTGCTGCCTTTTCTACTACCCACATGCTGCTGAATGAAGGTAGAGAAAATCATGCAATTATTTTGATTGGGTCTGCTACAAATTTATGTTCCAAAAATTCAACTGGGCCCTTACTGCTGCTAGATGATCCTTTTTGAACTCTCTATCCAAAATTTCCACTGTGACTCTAATAAACCTTCATGACTCTCCATTGATCCCATTCATCCGTCATGATTCCCCATTCCCCCACCCTCCCAGCTGAGAATTTTGCCTCATATTTTGCTAAAATTGTGGTCATTTGCCAAAAGTTCTGTCTTCTCTCTCCATCTCGTAGAACTGAGATGACATGCCATCTTCTCCTCCTTTACTACCCTACTCTTTGCTAAGGCAAACTACTGCACAAGTGGTCCTATTCTATCCTGTCTCCTTCAGCAGATTCCTCTCATCTCCTGTCTCACTTACCTTCAATCTGTCTCAGTCTACTGCATCCTTTTCTATTGCCTATAGACATATGCATATCTCATTCTCAAAAAACCCTCACTTGATCTTTTCATCCCAGCTGACTGTCATCCTAAATCTCTTATTCCCCTTGTGGCT